AAAGGCAGGCAGACAGGCAGGCAGGCTGGCATTAATAAGAATCCACAGTAGTCTAGACTCATCCTGAGTGTCATGTTACCTTGATAAAGCAATACTGTATTTTAGTTTACTGTAAAATCTATCAAATATTAGATCAAATTGCATGTGAGGCTTACATGAGTATGCTTGTGAGAAGAGCATAATGTACACAGTACTAGGAAAATGTTGACTATTATCCATCCTTATCAGATCAGGGCCTTGGAGCCTCATTTTATGTTATTTCAATTATATAAGAGAAACTTATGCTTGCTTGCAAAAGAAAAGAAAATCTAGTCTGTGGGGAAGAAGCTGAGGGAACAAAATAATAGTGTTGGATAGAGATGGAGAGAGAGGTTCCTCCCTCCATGAAGTGGGGATTTTGTGTCCAGATTCTAATTCAAGAAAAACAGCCTGAAATAGCTACTGAGAGTATGAAGAGGGGTCCAAGTTGAAGGGAGAAATGAATACTTGCTTGAGCAAGAGTCAGGGAGTACTGAGGGGCAAAAATAATCAATTGGAACACATGAAATTCCCTGAGAAAACAAAAGCTGTATGCCTCTGGCTAGGTGATTTGTCCATGGAACCAACCCATTACTAGCTGATGCTTTTTGGTAAATCTGTTGGCCCAGAGAACTTGTATACCTATAAAACCCAGAGAAACTCCAGGCAACACTTGAAAGAAAGAAAACAGACGTCCTAGAGCTCAGGTAGTTTGGGGGTGGGCAACCGTGGCTGGGTCAGATTATTTTTTAATGAAGTGTCTAGATGACAGTTTGGTGGGCATGTGCCAGGAACTCTGCTCCTGATTGGCTCCTGGTAACCAGGCTATCATAGGAAACATTCCAATTGCCTTCCTGCTTTCTAAGAAGACAAGGCGGCAGCAATGGGCAACTGCTGGGGCTGTTTGGGGACATCCTTAAGAAAGCATGCACCCAAATGGCATTGACTCAATTTATTGAATAAGTGTGTTATGTCCCAAGGGAGAGAGGTCACAGATATGGGGACGCTCTCTTCATGGGAAGCTCTTAACTATAAATTCCCAGAGACCTGTGAGGCAATGAGCTCCTTCTGTCCAGTAGTTGGCTTTCTCAGGCTTAGGCTCTGGTGATATGGATTGTGGGCTGACTGTGCTTCCTTTCCCACACTTTTCCCCCTGTCTTCTGAGTCCAGGGTCTTTCTTCTCTACACTAACACCTTGGACTTGGTCGTTTTTATTCCCATATTTCATTCTGAATCCTTCAGGTTAAGAACTCTGTACCTTGTCCTGTGGAAATACTCTGGATTTTTTTTTGGTATATTCATTCTCTTTTCTCAAATTCAAATAGTGCACCACACTCTTATCCAGCCAGTTTCCCTAGCCTTACCTGGACTGGCACCTAAGTCAAGGGGACAGGTAATATCTGATTCTTCTGTTGCTCATGCCATTTAAAGCATGGATGCTCTAACAATTCAAATCCAAACACTAGAGGATTTCTTAGGTAAATTCAGGTAGACCTTGCCATAGAAGTTCATACACTATTTTTAACATTGTGTCTATAGAAAATGTTTGCTTCTTTCTACCTCAAATTTCAGTTCAGCGATATAATTGTGGGAGGAACACTTGAACTGTGAATGATGTCAATTGGGCACAAAAGGTTACTATCATCCCTTTTGTTTGCCTTCAGAGTTGTGCTTCCATCACGTTTCCCTGTTCAAAACTATAATCTTTTTTGCCTGTTCAAGGGACAGTTCATGTGGATCATGAGAGCATGGGATCTGATCAAAGTTTCAAAAGTGAAATCATCAATTTAGAGGTCAATTAGAAAAATAAACCTGGGGCATTCATGAGGCATATTTTGTCATCCCTGGGATTTTTCTGCCTCCCTTCTCCTCCCTTCCTCACCCACCTGCCAGTAGAATACAACACGACTGCTAAGGATGTTATTGTGAAAGGAACCTGCTGCAGGGAAGAAATGAAATCTTTGATTTGTATCATTAGAATGTTGGGCAGGGATCATTGTAGGTAAAACCAATTGTGAGTTACAAATTGACGGCTGAATGAAGACTGTATTGTTTCCCTTGCAGAATGCTGGGG